TGCTGAACATGAGCCCTGCTGAGGGAGGCTCTGGCTTAGAGAAGTAGCCAAAGCTCTCCCAGCTGATCCCCAGCCTGCACCTCCAGGATTCATGGTTTTTTTCCGCTTCAATAGCTCAGTGTGTATTACGTGAGGACCTCCCTCCTTGGGGATTCTAGTTGCCACTGAGACTGACAACTCTCATGGAGACCTTCTTACCTCTGAGTTCCCTTCCCGAAATGCCTACCCTGGACCATCTTGGACTCAAGCCCACTGGGTCATCAGGCGAAATGGCCTCTGAGACCTTCCATGCTGGAGAACTAGGTGCACTCCTGGCTTCCTAATCAGCCCCAGACTTGGGTCAGGACTTGGGTTTTCTTAGAAGAAGTGCCAAGACCTTTAAAGGGCACCTTTCATCTCCTTCACCCCTCCTCCCCCCTCTCAGGCATGGTGCCAAGAGGAAGCACCCAGCAGGCATGGGTGAGAGGGACACAAAAGGTCTGCAGGGGCTCTTCCAGGACTAGGTGCACTCCTGGCTTCCTAATCAGCCCCAGACTTGGGTCAGGACTTGGGTTTTCTTAGAAGAAGTGCCAAGACCTTTAAAGGGCACCTTTCATCTCCTTCACCCCTCCTCCCCCCTCTCAGGCATGGTGCCAAGAGGAAGCACCCAGCAGGCATGGGTGAGAGGGACACAAAAGGTCTGCAGGGGCTCTTCCTGGCCCTGCTGGCAGCTGGCCTAGCCCCATCCTCGTCCCCTTCCTTTCTCAAGTTGTGATTATCTTTTCAGACCCTGGGGGACTTCTAGCCCTGTAGGCTCCAGAAGGGACTTCCTGTGGCTCTCAGGAACCCCTTGGGTGCTGAGAGGCTCCTGGGAAAGGCTTGAGCCATGATACCACGTGCTCCAAAGCCCCACTTTCATGGGCTCAGCTGCTGATGAATCTGCCTTCTTGTGCCACTGACTCTGAGTCCACAGACACAACCCCAGTGGTCTCCTTTCAGCACTGTCGCTGCCAGCTGCCTAAGATGGGTGACACCTGGGCCCAGCTCCCCTGGCCGGGGCCCCCTCAACCAGCCATGCTGCTGATCTCACTACTCTTGGCAGTTGGGGTGATGCACTCAGATGCTGGCACCAGCTGCCCGGTCCTCTGCACGTGCCGTAACCAGGTGGTAGATTGCAGCAGCCAGCGGCTATTCTCCGTGCCACCGGACTTGCCGATGGACACTCGCAACCTCAGCCTGGCCCACAATCGCATAGCGGCCGTGCCACCTGGCTACCTCACGTGCTACATGGAGCTCCGCGTGTTGGATTTGCGCAACAACTCCTTGATGGAGCTGCCCCCAGGCCTCTTTCTCCATGCCAAGCGCTTGGCGCACCTGGATCTGAGCTATAACAACCTCAGCCACGTGCCAGCCGACATGTTCCAGGAGGCGCACAGTCTTGTGCACATTGACCTGAGCCACAATCCGTGGCTACGCAGGGTGCACCCCCAGGCTTTCCAGGGCCTTGTGCAGCTCCGAGACCTGGACCTCAGCTATGGTGGACTGGCCTTCCTCAGCCTGGAAGCCCTTGAGGGCCTGCCAGGGCTGGTGACCCTGCAGATTGGCGGCAACCCCTGGGTGTGTGGCTGCACCATGGAGCCCCTGCTAAAGTGGCTGCGGAACCGGATCCAGCGCTGTACAGCAGGTAAGGGAGAGGGGCAGGACTGGGCAGCCAGTGGGGAGGGCTTGCCTGAGTGGAAGTGAAGGCTCCAAACAAGACCTGAGAGCTATTGAGGACCTACTATGTGCTCTGACCTGTTCTTGCCTCTTTGTACACCCACTCTCTAAGTCAACAAATGATCAAATCTTTGTGATCATCCCTAGCAGGGATGCTAGGCGTAAGGAAATCCACTCATTAATGAAGCAGACATTCCCTTGCTTCTGTGGTGCTTATGGCCTAATGAGATAGAGGGATAGTAAACAGGACTAGCTAATAGTAGATGGTGTTTACTGAGCTTTCACCATGACGTAAGTACTGGGCATGCATTATCTCACCAGATCTCCCTTTTATCATCCACATCTTATGGATGAAGAAACATATTTAGAACAATGAAAAGCCTTGCCCGGAGCCATACTTTTAGAAAGTGGCAGAGCAATGGATAAAACCTAGAGTTATTTGACTTCTAAGCCTTTTTCTACTCTATCAGAGTGCTTTTTACATGTTGTTAGTGTTGGGGAAACTCCTGAAGAAATACTAGTACATAACACCATTGGTTTTAGTACTTTCTGCCAGACCCTAATTCCAAACATAGTACAAATTTAGGCTCAGCTTGTCCTCATGAAAGCGCTAATGAGGCCCTCACTCTCCAGAGGAGAAAACCAAGGCACAGAGAGGTTCAGTAGCTTACTCAAAGTCACACAGTTGCTAAGTATGGTGTCAGGAGTCAAACCTTGAAAGTTTGGCTGTCCTTGGGCTATATCCTGAAGATTTTGGTTCTAGGTCATCAGAAAAGATAGGGCTTGAGTTCAGGGCTGGCCAAAGGGCCTCAGCACAGTTCTCAAAGTTTGAGTATGGCCTGAAGAGATGAGAGGAGGACCTGAGATGTGGTGACTTAACCAGCCAATTCCAACTGGAGAGTGGCCTGAAGGAGCTGGGACTACACAGGGCCAATGGACATTGGCCTCACTGAGTGGCATTCAAGCCTAGCCCAGAGGCAGGCAACATCAGCTGTGACTCCGGTCATTGGCTCTCTTGTGTGACAGCATTGAGCGTTGGCACAAGGCCCAGCAGAACAGGAATACCTGGGGGCAGTAGCCCAGGGGCTTTCCCAGAGCCTGGGATTAGTGCATATTGGAAAGGGATGCTGAATAGGTAGGAAGAAAAGAAGGACTGAGTGGGGAGCCCAAGACCAAAATAGTTTGAGGGGGGCTGTGGGTCACGATTCCAGTGTTTCCACAGAGCTGTGGGAGGTATTTCTCTAGAACTGAAATAGCTGGGGACTGAGATGGGGCAATGGAAGCGGGGAGGAGAGGGAGGCTGCCTGGATTGATCTCCAGCCACTCAAGCAGCAGGGCAGACTGTGTCTTTCCTCCCTCTCCTGTGCACTCCCGACAGAAAAAGCACTCAGGGAGCTAGGTTTCCATCACACCTAGGGACTCCTCCTTTTCTGTGATCTCCGAGATCTCTGCTGCCCTAGAAGCAGGAGAGGATCCCATCAGTGTAGCTTCACACATTGGCACAAGTGAAGGACTAAGCTCCAAAGACAATCAATGACTGTCCCTAGGCCCTGGGGGAGAAAGCAAGCAGGCCATAACTAGAAACCTAGGCCTCCTGTGCCTCCAAGAACACATTTCGCAGCATCACACTCACAAAGAGTATTTCCTCTTGGGAGAAAAAAAAA